AAGTGCTGGGATTACAGGCTGAGCCACGGAGCCTGGCCCATTTCAGTTCCAATGATCTATTGTTGCGTAACAAACCACCCCAAAGTTTTTTTTTTTTCCCCCAGGTTCTCACTCTGTCACCCTGGCTGGAGTGCAGTGGCATGTTCATGGCCATCACAACCTCAACCTGATGGTCTCAGGCGATCCTTCTGCTTCAGCCTCCTGAGTAGCTGGGACTACAAATGTGAGCCTCTATGCCTGGCATTAATTTTTTGATTTTTTTGTAGAGATGAGGTCTTGCCAAGTTGCCCAGTCTAGTCTCGAACTACTGGGCTCAAGCGATTCTCCTGCCTCAGACTCCCAAAGTGCTGGGATTGCAGGAGGGAGCCACTATGCCCCACTATCCATTTCAGAGTTTTTAGTAGCTTAAACACAATGACTTACTTCTCGTGGCCCTTGGGTTGGCTGGGCTCAGGTGAGCAGCTCTTCTGCTCCATGTGGCGTCTGCTGGGGTTCCAGGAAGCCTGTTCCATTGATCATGTAGCTGGGGCTACATATCCAAGCTGTCTTCACCCGCAGAACAGACCCGTGGCAGGTGGCTGGGACCGTCTCCAGCCACTGAGGGATTCCAGGAGTGAAAACGGAAGCAGCCCAGCTTCTCAGGGCCTGGAGTTAGAACTGGCACAACCGCACCTTGCTTGTCCCATAGGTCAGGGCCAGCCAGGATTCAAGGAGAGGACAAGTGGGCTGCAGCCTGTGTGTATGTATGGGTTGGAGGTGCTGTTAATGCTCATTTCTGGATGCGGATACGGTCAGAGACACAGGAAGAGAAAACAGGATCCAGGACCTCTGACACTGTGTATATGTATGTGTAAACTCATAGGAAATTCTTGGTATATTCAGTTTCCATGGTGGGCACAGTGGCTCATGCCTACAATCCCAGCACTTTGGGAGGTCTAGGTGAGAGGAGTGTCTGAGTCCAGGGGTTCGAGACCAACCTGAGGAACTTGGTGAGACCTTGTTTCTACAATAAATCCAAAAATTAGCCAGGTGTGGTGGCGCACACGTATATGGTCCCAGATACTTGGGAGGCTGACATGAAGGATCACCTGAGCCCAGCAGGTCCAGGTTGTGGTGGCCTGGAGCATGCCACTGCATTCCAGCCTGGGTGACTGAGAGACTCTGACTCAAAAGAACAAAGAAAAGTTTCTATGGAATGTGCCGTGTTTCTGTTCACCTCTTTCGATGGTCGCAAAAGTTAAATCTTATTTTAGCAGATGACCCTCAAAATCCTGGAAGTTTAGAGTCAAAAGGAACTTTGGAATTAGCTTGTGAAAGCTTATCTTGCTCTCTTATTAGACTCAACTGTGGTCTGGAGAATTTCTGTGATCTGCCCACAAAGATGTAGCTAGATGGTACAGACAGTTTTGTTGTAGTGGAATTTGACGTGTGTATAAGAATTTGTATTGTTATATTCTCTTTAACAAAAGGAAATCATTTCTATTTCTACATAAAACAAAATTAAGACATTTGTATTTTTCTCGTGCTCTAATTAAGCCCTTGTTCATAAACAGCACTGATCTGTACATAGTTACTAAGAGACATTTTCTTTTTGAAACTTCATTTTTGGTTTAAGGGGTCCATGTGAGGATGTACTGTGTGACGGTGAGGTTTGGCTTCTGTGGAACCGGCACCTGGGTGGTGAGCACGGTACCGGTGGGTGGTTTTCCAGCCCTTCCCCTCCCTCCTCCCTCTCCCCTCCCCACTCAGAAGTCCCTAGTGCCGTGCTCCCATCCTCGTGCCCGCATGTGCCCAGCGTTTAGCTCCCACTTGTAAGTGAGAACATGCAGTATTCTGTTTTCTGTTTCTGTGTAAGAAGAACACGCAGCAAAGCGCTCGAGCTGTTCAGTATTGAGCCTGCATAGAATCTGCGAATGTCATCCTGTTTTTCGCAGTCGCCTAAGATACTTCTGTGAATCGTCATGGCTGACCTGTGAACCATGCTGAAATGTGCCACTGTCTCCTTGCCCTAGAGCAACCCTGTCAGCCTTCTTTCATGTATGAGGAAACTGACCCTTGGAGTAGGTGACACATTTGCTAAAGGTCACACAGCTGCTTAATGGCAGGGGACGTGTGAACCCAGGCATGTGGCCTCCTTATCTGGGTTCATACTGCTAAAGGTGGTGTGAACCCATTTGTGTGGCCTCCCTTGTGTGGGTTCTGTACCACTAGAGTTGGTGTGGACCTGGGTGGGTGGCCTCCTTGTCGGGACTCTGTACCACTAGGGTTGGTGTGCAGCTGGGTTGGTGGCCTCATTCTCTGGGCTCTGTACCTCTAGGATTGTTGTGGACCTGGGCGCGTGGCCTCCATGTCTGGGCCCTGTGTCTTCTGGAGTGGCCACCTGCAGTGCCGGGTCAGGACTCGTAAACTCAATCTCCATACATTCCTGGGAAAGGGAGGTGAGTGGCCTGACTTCTCAGCTGACTTTGGCCGTGTCTCCCTGTCACGTGCCTGCCACGTTCCTCCTGCGTCCTTGGCTGCTGGCCTTCTGCCATCCCCAGACTCTGGGCCCATCTTCTCTTGTTGCCTGTCACGTGTTCCTGGTGGATTTGGGAGTGAAGTTCCTTCAGTTTCTGGAAGAGCCTCTTAGGCATGTGCCACGGCGTCTTCTGAGGGCTCGAGTCTCAGGTTGATGTTTGCTAAATAAGAGGGGTGGGCAGAGGACAGGGTGAGCCTGCCCACTTGGGGCACGTGAAGGTTTTGTTTAGAGACTGGCTGGCTCAGGAGTGTGGCTGGGTGGGCACCTGCAGCGCTCCATGCACGCGAGTTTTCGCCGTGGTCTTCCTGCTACTTTTTTGGTGCAGCTCCTGGACGTGAAGCACAGTGGATGGGCGACTCTTGACGTAGTGAGCATCCTGTAGATATGGGGGGGCCGAGGACGCCACATGCGCCCTGGTCTGCCTGCAGGGTCGTGTCCATGACCTCAGCAGGTGCCGGAGCCGTGAGCACAGGCGAGTGAGTCACCCCGAAGGGAGGAGCCGGTGTCACGGGCCAGCCTGAGCCACTGCACAGCTGGTGCTGGCTGAAAGGCTGTGGCCCGGGCTGGCTGTGATGGGCACATTGTTCCCTGGGCACCAGGGCTCCGGAGATCTTGCTAGATGTGGTTTTGCATCGTATCTTCCTCCAGGCCGTCAAGGCCCCAGACGTGGCCTCATCGCCTCACCGGTGGTGAGTGGGAGGCAAGGGCTTCTCCCCCGGCCCAGGTGAGGCAGGATCCCCGGTCTGACCCTCGCCTGCCTCTGCTCATGGCCTTCCAGGTGGCAAACATGAGCCCTTCTGTCAGGCCCAGCACCTCTTGGAAAACCACTGTGTTCTTGTCACCATTGCCAACCTGTCGCCACACCTCCTTCCACAGCAACGCGGCCCGCCCTCGGGCGGCACCTCCCACATCTTCCATGGGGCTCACTTGGCTGCGTCCCTCCACCCGCCCTCTCACCATGCCCACACCCATGCCATGGGGAACACAGGTACAGTTATGGCGGGCGACGGCCAGTGTCTCCAGTGCTCCATGTACCTGGTGCATGGCCAGGAGGGACACTTGCGTCACTGACAGGCAAGCTCATGTGAGCCTCAGGTGCTTACTCATTCCAGGCGCTATTCTGGGTGGGCGAATGCAGCCTCAAGGCATGCGGAGTCCTGCCCCACCAGGTTCTCCCAACCCCAGGGAGCAGACACGGACACACAGACAGCTGAGCACGAGACGGGACATGGCGCCGCCATGCTTGTCTGGGGCCGGGAACACAGGGGGCCATGTCTCTCCCCACCTCTGCCAGGCTGAGCCCCAAGCGGCCTCCCGGGGTGCCGAACCCTGCTCTGCTGTGGGGTGGTGGTGGTTTCCTTCTGCGTCTTCGATGTCCCGTGCCCAGCCCCCTCCACTTCAGAGTGCCCGGCCTTCTCTTCCCCTGGAGGCCCTGGGCTGCCTCCACCTGGCTTGCCCTCGCCTGGAGCTGGCCTTGGGGTGTCCTCTACCCTGTCCTCACTCTCTGCCTTGCAAAACTGTCACGAGGGGGGTCGGCGGTGGGTGCAGGGACAGCCTTGTCTCTAACACATCCATATCTCTCTCATCCCCTCCTGCCTGGTCTGTGTCCCCCACTGACAGTGTCCCCAGCCGGGCCTCTCGACTGCCTGTGTCTGTCTGGAAGCTTCCTTCACGGACACAACCCCCAGGCCAGCCTGTGGAACCTCTCCCAGCCCTACCTACCGGGTCCATCCCATCCCCCCAGGCCCTTGCTCTGACTGTCCCGCCTGCAGGGAATACCTTTTCACCTAGATTGTCCGTTGGCGAAGGGCCAGCCACGCCGGTGCCCTGCCGACTTACCCAGCCTCTTCTGGGTGGCCTCCAGTCATCACACAAACAGTTTCAGGTACCTGACCTTGCCACAAGTCCCCTACTGCTGTAAACACTAGGCACACAATAAATGACCATTGGGCAGCTGTGGCCTCTTCTTGGGGCAGGTTGCCTGGTTGTAGAGGTCGCCTGGGGTGAGCCAGGTTGAAGCCGGGTCCCTGGCCTCCCCCAGACCCTCCTATTAGCTGCTGAGTCCCACACGCTCCAGTCCAGCCGCAGACCATGCCTGAGGAGGTGCGGAACTCAGGGTTCCTTAGGCCCCCCTCAGAACTCCCGTGTCCCTGACGTGGGCTCAGCAGTGGTGTGGTGCCTGCTGGCCTCTGTCATCAGGCCCTGTGCTCCTTCCGGGAGCCATCTGCAGTGCGCCCAGGGCCCCAGCGGTCTCGGGAGAAGGGCTGCAGCCGTTGGGCAGTCTCGGGAGAAGGGCTGCAGCCGTTGGGCAGGGGTGATGGGAGTGACTGCACCCTGCCTAGGACAGCCCTCAGGCCTCCCTGTGAGGGGATGGCAGTGAGCGTGCTCTGCCTAGGACAGCCTGCACTGGCCTCCCTGAGAAGGAACGGGAGTGACCATGCTGTGCCTGGATGGCCCACACTGACCTCCCTGCTTCCCCCAGGAGATGGCCGGCCGAGCCCTCAAGCAGACGGGCAGCAGGAGCATTGAGGCAGCCCTTGAGTACATCAGCAAGATGGGCTACCTGGACCCCAGGAATGAGCAGATCGTGCGGGTCATCAAGCAGACCTCCCCAGGTGAGCCAGCCGCGGGGTGGGTAAGAGGGATTGTGGTTTAGGGGTGTGAAACCATGTGCAGGAAGAGAGGTCCCCTGGGTCCCCTCTGGCTGGCAGGAGACGGTCTCCTGGTCTCCTGGTCGCTGCCTCGTGCAGGTGAGGAGTGAGCCCCACCCACCCTGCTGAGCCAGGTCCTGGAGGGCGGCCCCAGGTGGTGGGGGGGGCTGTACTTGATGCTCACCCCACCCTATCTGAAAAAACTGTGGCATCGCCCTCCTAGGGAGTGTGTGTGTTTGTTTTATGAAAGACTCGAAAAGTCGGCAAACTCAGAGTAAAAATGATCTTACTTTCTCTTGGGACTGTTGAGGGATCTTTGAAAAGGGAGGCTTATTTCTTTTTTTTATTTTTTATTTTTTTGAGTTGGAGTCTCACTCTGTCGCCCAGACTGGAGTGCAGTGGCCGCTCCCGGCT